TGGTCAGACTGAAAAAACAGGACCTTATAGCAACTCCCTGCTTGCTCTTTCCCTTCACTATGGCTTTTTTTTTTTTTTTCCTTTTTTTTTTTTTTGTACTGGGGATCGAACTCAGGACCTTGCACTTATACTTGCCAGGCAGGCATTTATGCCTGCTGAGCTATCTCCCTGACTCACAGATAGTATTTTTAATAGGTCATTGTGACCAAAGTTGAGTTCATTAAGGAAAAGAGAAGGCGCAGTGATTTGTCACAACCATTATTTTATATATTTTCCCAGAGGCCCTCTTATTTCCTCAAAATCTTTCAATATCAGTTTAAGCCATTTCATTTTTAGGGACAGGGTCTGGCTATGCAGCTCAGGCTGGCTGTGAACTCATTATATAGTCCAGGCTGGCCCGGAACTCAGCGACCCTCCTGCCCCAGCCTCCTGAGTGCTGGAATTACAGGTGTGTGCCACCACACTCAACTAAGACATTTTCATGTCCTTCAGGAAAGAAGGACTGATACACTGTCTGCGAGGTTGTGGTCCCCATGGGGTGCTGGCCAGGACCCTGTTTTTGTATGTCTGTGAATACAGAAACATCCTAGAATGTCTTTCAGGAAAATTTGCAATTCAACTTACATTTTTAAAAAGTAAGATAACTCCCAAGTAAGAAATATATGGCCAAGTCTTGGAACAAGAGTCAGAATTTATTCAGTATTAGAGCATGCCTCACATTGGGCTGTTTCCTTTGAGGCTCCACCTACTGAATGCGAGAACATTCATCTTGCAGAGAAGCCCTGTAGATGTGGGAGACTCTTCGGCATTCCCACAGGACACCGCTGCTTCATGAGCAACAGAAACAAAAGCAATAATATGACAGGGCGCTCAAGAAAGCAAGGGCATGCAACATCAGAGAATTCACACTGGAGGAAAAGTGCCTGCATGCAGCGGAGAAAAAAGAAGGCCTTCACACAGTGCTCCCAGCTCATTCCAAATCTGGAGCTTTGCAGCAGAGAAGACACAGGACCTCTGGTCAGAGTTCTACCCTTCAGTGATGTTAGAGAACTCATTTGGAGCTAAGCTGGTACTGGTTAGAATACACAAAACCATGAGTGTACTGAATGCCAGATTATTCACCCTGGAGAGGGGTGGTGAGGGGAAGCAGCATGGAAAATCACTGAGGGAGGGCTTTGCGCTTTCTCATCACCGGAGAATTCACAGGAAAGGAACTCTCGGAAAGATCGTGGGAGAACTTTCAGGCAGTCATCAGGCTGCTTCATCCTAGAGAAAGGCTTTGATGAGGAGGAGTGGGGCAAAGTCTCAGTTCTCCTCATTATTGGATTTCAAAGAACCCTAAGGGATGTACAGGAACTTTCTGGGCCAATTCAGGGTCAATTAAGTACCAGACTAAAGTACCAATCCTATTGTCATGCAGGGACTTAAACTTTACTCCCCAAAGAGCTTCCATTCCTTTCTTCTTCTTTTTATGCATTTAGTACAGGGTCTACAGGGTCTCACTACACAGATCAGACTCCTACCAATCCTCCTGTTTTCAGCCTCCCAAGCACTGGGATTACAGGCTCGCGCCACCATGACCAGTCTCAATCCCAGGCTCAGCGCACCCTAGGGGCAGGGCCCACCTGTATGCAGGGCCTTTCTTTTATTATCTACCAGCTTTACATTTTTGTCTCTATAATGACTTCCCTTTTTTATTCCTTTTAAAAGCTTAAATTTGCCCTACTAGGCATGTGATGCATTTCTATTGAATGAGTGATATCATAGAATAGGCTCATATAACTTTCCTGGATTTGGGGACAGGACCCCTTAGGGAGGGAATATAGGACCTCACTGAGAGGAACTGGGCTCAGTGACAAATTCTGGTGGTCACTACTTCTAATATCATCCTGACACATCCAAGGCTGGACTTGCAGATCTGATGACCTATTATGGCCACATCTCTCCACTGCTGAAGGTTACGCTGAGCCAGGACATGAGGTGCGTGGCTTTTCCCAGGGCTTGATTACAATAAAACAATTTGCCTTTGTCAGATACATTCAGAAAGCACCAGTCCAGTCTTGGTTTCATATTTTATTTTATTTTTAACTTTATTTATTTTCCATAATTTTATTGAGAAACAAATAGCAATGAGACAGTTTCAAACCAAATTAATAGGTCAGTTTCAATAATTAACACATTGCATACATTCTTCCTAGTGGTTAATTGCTGTACAAGATGCGGACATGATTCCCATTTACAAACACTATTTCGACAAATCCCTCCATTCATTAAGAGAATGTGACTATATATCTATCCTCTTTGAATACACAGATACAAAATAGACATTCATCTGTATCCCCTTTTTCTGTTAAGTTCCATTATTTGACTATTATAGGTGTTAACTCAGCAAAATATTCTAAAAGAGTCCAGTAGCCCATAATAGTATTGGGTCTTCTGCTTGACTGGCCATGTCAGAAATTGTTGACCTGAGTCCTTCAGTTTCATTTTTTTTAGAACAGAGTTGTTTGTGAAGCCACCCTTCCCTAGGGAAGGGAAGGACGAGGTACATTTCTTGTCACAGAATCACAAAACAACCAGAAGCTGTCCCAAGGGGAAGCTTTCTCCAGTTCACATTCACCAACTGCTCTCTTGCCTGCCAATCTAACTCCTCTTCCTAGACGAGCAGTCTAAGTCTCCCAAAATACATCCTTGCCTCCCACTATCTGAACTTCCCAAGTGCGTTAGCAGTGACTCAGGTCTTGTGCATTTCTGGCTCCTGGATTTACTTGGAAAAGGTAGATGGAGAAGATGGGGAAACTAAGGACTGCCATACAAGGCAAAGAACAGAATGCCACAAGTCAGGGGCCTCTGTTCCCAAGATGGTCGAAAAACATCATCAAGTCTGCTTCACTGCAAGGCCCAGGTCCCCACAGTCTAGTTTCAGCTGCCACAAACTTCATCTACTACAGAGGCCTCAAACATGCAGCTGTGGGTGCCATCCTCGCTCCAGAATTTACCCACCTTCTGCCATGGTCTCCTCTAGGCCCCGACACAGGCCCCAGATCTCAGCCACTGAACCCTTCTGAACTTGTCCTCCTATAATCCACCACTGAGCCCATCTCAGAAGACTCATACTCAGACAGCTGGAACCTTCCCAAATACTTGTCTTTCCTCGTCTATCCACAGGTGGGACTAAGCGCTGGGATTGCCGTGCAGGTGGTGAGCAATCCTGAGCTATCCTTCTCACCACCCCAAAACAGTTTCTTTCATTAGTGGCTAGGTAGATTTTCCACTTGAGCCAGAGGGTGACAAGAAAAGCTGTGGGGGAGATGACACAAAGGTTCTGAGAACACTACAGGCTGTAAAGGGCCTCTAGAAGTCTGCTTAGAAAACAAAGACCTTTAAGCTATATGGCTGACATGCTGGAAGCTGGTGGTTCCAGGATAGTTACAGTGGCTCGAGAATGCCATCAAGGACCTGGGCTCCTCCTCTGTCACTGCCTCAACAGACTGGCTTTTCCTGTGTCTCATAGTCTCATGGACTCAAGACTCCCAGCCATTTCCAGAGTTTAATGCAGCACTGTCACATGGTTTCTAAGCCAAGTGACACAAAAGGAAACATGTATATAAGCTTGCTGCAGTGACATGCATGGCTGAGGCTGGGCAAGCCACAGGCATGAGGGCAGCTCTGGGGCTGTTACCTCTCTCTAGCATCCACCAGCTCTACTCAGGTTGGCCCCTCATCTTCTTGCAAAAAGCAAGCCTATTCTTCTCTCCATTATAGCTTGTTCTGTTTTTCTTCATTCAAATTGGAATTTTGGGTGGCACACTGGTCCATCCAGGCCTGCTCACTCTCCTGACATCTTGTTACACATTGTCAGGATGATGTCCAGTCTGTTTCTGAGTCAGACAACTTCAAAAGTCTCTGGCCAGCATATGCTGGGTCCCAATGCAATGAACTGTGCACACACCCTAGAGTCCCATAGTATGGCAGAGCCACCAGGGCAGCAGGGCTGGGGGCAAACAGGCAGAGGGGAGCCCAGTGGAGAGGACCAAAGGTGAAGCACAGAAGAAGGGCTGCTCTAGTGAGTGGTTCCACAGAAGGAAAGGCCATCAAGGACACCTTGGTCCCAGTGGACGCTACCAGGAGAGGAGCAATGTGTTAGAGGACACAAACAAGACTCTGAGGACACAAACAAGACTCCATCTCCAGCTATTCCAGCCAATACCATGAAGGTTCTAGGCATAGTGGGGTAGAAACTGACCCTAATGCCTGGCCTGCAGAACTGAGAGTGGTAACAGATTCCCAAATCTGCCATGACTCGCGATTCCCCAGCTCCCACAGCAGAGACTCCAGTGATGTTGGAGGGAAGCTTGACATCTCAGGAATGTGACTTTTGGGCTGGGGAGATGGCTCAGTAGAATAAGCACTTCCCTGGCAAGCATAAGGGTATGAGTTCAATCCCCAGTTCCACATACACACAAAAAAGGAATGTGACTTTCACAGAGTTGGAAATGCTCACTGTGAGACTTGGTTTCCTGGAATCCTTGGGGCAGCTTTGACAAGCCCAAGATGGTGGAGGTGGCACTATTTCCAGATGGCCCTTGACCCAGCCAGAACATGCACTGGTGATTCCACCAAGTGGAATTAAAAATCCTGCAATGGAAAAATGAGCCACCGACAATGAAGGTCAGAGGCAGACCTGAACTCGAATCTGGACTCCTCTAATTAGCTCTGTGATTCAATCAGGCCATTGAACTTCTTTGTATCTTATTTCCTTCATTTGCAACACAAGGGTGGGAACACGGCTGTTTCAAAGGGCTATGGGGAAGAGTAACTGAGATACTGTGTATGACACTCAGCACAGGGGACACTTATATGCATGCTAGCTGACTGCTTATATTTTCTGGTTGGGAACTGAAGTGATGTCCTCAAGGTGGGGAGTGGGGTGGGGAATGGGATGGGGGTAACCTGACTTCACAGCTCTCCATCTGACCTGCTTGGTTGGTTGGTTTTTTTTTTTTAAAGACCTAGTTTCTTCAACAACTTCCTGAGAGGCCTTTGCTAGCCTCCTGGGAAGGCCTGGTCTAGAGTCAACCCCTGGACCTTTGTTCCTCCAAAACCTTTTACTCTCCTACCCACTTTGATCTCTTCCACCCGTTTTCCCCATATCTTATCGGCTGTGGCCTCCTGCCAGTAATTGCTCAAGCAATTTGAGGGAATATTCTGGAGGCTTATAAATGACATTCCAGCTATAAACTGCCAGAAGTGGAGCACACGAAGACAGTGACTGGCTGTCTCTGGGGCCCAGACAGCATGTGGCCTCTGGCAAGCCAACGGCAGCAGCTGGCAGGCCCACCATCCTCCTAACACCTGAGCTCCAACCTGCCACCTGCTCAGCCACTCTAAGCGACCACTCTTCCTGCCCTGCCAGGCACAGGTTTGGCTAGGAGAGAGTTCCAAGCTGCATAAACTCTTGAATTCAGACACAGAATGTGCCCTTATTTTTCAGGGTAGACAAGAGATTTTGTAACTAACAAGAGGAAAGAGGCCTTTTCTGTGCTTCCTATGTGGGACCTAGAAGTTAGCCACACGCCAGAGGGATAAAGTCACAAGGTGGCCAGGGGAGGCAGTAGTTATTCACCTCTGTCCTTCAGGTTCTCTGCATGAGCTCAGATAGGCTCTGACCCTGAGAGCCCTAGGTGGTCCTAGAGCCAGGCTCACAACAAGCAACTCTGCAAGGGGGTTTGCAGCCTGCACCCTCCTCCTGGGTACTCCCAGGCCAGTGCAACTCCTGATGAGTAACCTCTCCATGCAGCCTGGTGCAATGGGACTAGGCCTCCATCCGTTACCTTCTGGGGCTTCAGAGCTAACCTGGGTGGCCTGCTTGGCATGAGGCTGAGGAGGAAGGGGTGACAGTAAGTAGGTCACCTTCTTCCCTGTGTGACCTTGAAGAGCCTGAGGGACAAGCATCCCAGAAGAGGCTGCTTTTAGTCAACAGCAAATGTCCTAAACCATCTGCTTGGACCACAGCATCCGCAGCTGCTGAGACAGCCTCATCCCTGGGTGCGTCATGCTCAGAGGTGCTGTGGAGAATCCAAATGATGAGATGCTGTTTCTCTGCTGGGAGCTCAAACCTGTTGAAGAAAAAGACATAACCACATCATAAAGGGAGAGAATACAACCCAGGTCAAGCAGGTTTTTCAGGCAATGAATTCTCCTAGAAATATGTGTGGGGACCGGACAGGAGATGAACTGCAGGCCACAGGGTCCTGAGAAGGGAAGAGGGGCAGTTGGGCACCATAAAGAATGCAAGGTAGCCAAGGTGGTGCCATGACATGAGCGCTCCGCTTCTGGGAGTTGCAGATTCACCCCGGGCCTTCCCTCCACTGCCTGCTGCGGTCCCAGAAGGGATGGGAGTCTGTGCACAGGCATGGAGATCTGTATGTCAGCAACAGAGGCTTGTGACCCTCCTTTCTTACCACATCCCAGCAGTGTCAGGCCAGGATCTGGTCATGCTTTGTGCTGGGAAAGATACTGCTTTGGGGCCACTCAGATGCTAAACCCAACCTCCCTCCACTGGCACAATGCACGTGGCCAAACATTTGGACAGGATTCTGGCAGAAAATCAAAGAGCTCATGCAGTAGGGGAAATCTTTGAATATTATGAATAGGGGAAATTTCCATTCATTCCATAATTCATATTAGAGAGACTCCTGCTGAATGGCTCCCATAGATGCAGCTCTGCTGGAGGGGAGCAGGCACAGACAAGAGAAGATCACAGGGTGGAGAGCGCGCGAAATGAGCCTGAACCTACGTCACAGCTCGTGCGCATCCCGGACGCAGACGCACAGTGTGATGTTCCAGAAAGCACCACCTTGCGGCACCTGATGAGCCACTGCGAACGAGTCCTTTGAATGTGATGAATTGGGGGCGGCAATCATTTGAGAAGAAATCAGCCCTTATTCATCGCTGAGGTTCCGGCTGGAGAGCGGGCGGACGGTCGTCACAGATGACGAAACTCAGGGGTGCCCCCATATCGGAGAGACAGGGAGACCAGGGAGGGAGCTGAGGATGCGGCGTGTGTGGGGGTGCGCTGAGCATTTGTGACTTCAAATGTTCACCCAACAGAGAGCCATGAAGAAGGCTGTGAATGCAGAAAATGGTCTTGTCAGTGCCTAGACTTTCAGTAGCAGGAATAGAAGGCAGTAGGCTCTGCCTGTGAAGAATGCAGACTCCTTGGGGACAGTGTGCAAGGGGACAAGCAGCTCTGTGGGTGAGATCCCTTGAGACCACTGACAGAGGTGCCTGACACTGTGCAGAAAGCAAGAAGCAGGCTCTGCAGCTCTCGGAGTTTCCCTTCCACAGTGCCCCCAAGTTTCCATCACCTTTCTCCTCCTTCCCTCAGTTAAATCGTGGTCACTTCCTTCCTTGCCTTCACCTTTTGGGGCATCTTGGCCCTGCACCCGCATGTGCTCTGCTCGGTCTATGACCCCCTGTACCGTGACCCTGCCCAAGTAACCCAGGCTGTTGCTGAGGCTGACTCATTCATTTTAAAAAAATTTATGTTTATTTATTTTTGACTCATTCATTTGTTCATCCCTTCTCTGCATTATCTTTGTGACATCTGCTCTTACTATGCGGTGTCTCACCCCTATCTGCCCTGGGACACATAACAGGGAAGGAGGTGGTGTCAGTGACACGTGGCTTGGGCAAACAAAGAAGAAGATTAGGGGTCGGGAACTAGCAGCATCCTTGAGATGATAAGGGTGCTGTGTCTCTGAGTTCCCCAGGCAAGTGTAGGCAGGAGCAGCACAGCAGGGAGGAAGATCTGGCTCATGCCAAATCCCAGGGTCTTCCCACCACCAGACAGAGAGGGTCCTTCAGCCACAGCATTCCCCAGGCTAGGCTTCCAGACTTCCAGGACAGTGAGGGACACCCGGTAAATATAAGTGCGAGGGTAAGGAAGGAGAGAAAAGCCCTGGGAACAGGGAAGGCCCACTTGTTCTTTCAACTGCGCAAATATGCCCCTTCACACTCACAAGCCTGAACAGTGCCAGGCCCTGTGCTAGTAGCTGGGATCTGAGTGGATAATCCTCACATAAAGTCAAATGTGGTGGCACATACCTGTAATCCAGCATTCTGGGAGGCTGAGGCAGGAGGACTGGAAGTTCAAGTGCAGCCTAGGCAACTTAGCCACTAAGGAACACACTGTCTCAAAAGAGAAAATAAAAAAGGTAGGATGTGGAGGATCTTGTTTCAATCCTAAGTATAAGAGAAAAAAGAATGAAAGGAAAAGGTAGCCCCTGCCTTCAGGAGCTGCTTTCTAGAAGGCAGGCAGACAGTTCAGAGTGCCAAGTGATTTGCAATGGGCAGCGCTGGGCCAGACACTCCGAGGAGATGCATTCAGACGGACTCAGGGTGTTGACTGAGGGAAGAGGCCACATCTTGAGCCAGGCTGGGGGCCAGGCAAGAAGGCACATGCCTGTAATCTTAGCACCCGGGAGGCTGAGGCAGGAGGACTGCTGCAAATCTGAGGCCTGCCAGGGCTACATAGGGAGACCCTGTCTCAAAAAGAAAAAAAAAAAACCAAAACTGTGGAGACCCACTGGGGAGCAAGAAGACCTGCTGCTGCAGTTGGGAGTCGGGGGCAGGCCCTGCGAGGTTGGCTGTGAAGGGTGTTTGGCTGCGGGCATGGCCTGGAAGCTTTTTTTTTTCCCCTCTAGAATCTCATGGCTGAGAAACAAGAACAGATTTGTGCAAAGATTTATTAAACTCAGGCAGATGTGGTCCAAACGTGAGGGTGTGAGTTTTGCCTCCTTTTTCTCACAAAGCAAGGTTTCCAAGAAGTGCAGCAAACATGATAAGCTACAAGGGGTGATCTCCATAGGGGTCCTGTTCTGCAGCAGAGGAACCAGTCTGGGTAGGAAGGGCCACTAACTCCAACCAGCTTTGGGGATCGTCTGTGGGCAAACATTGCCCTCTGGTGGCCATGGGCGGCATTGCCCCGACGAGCCAGAACTCTAGGTCCTCATTGGAAATCAGTTGAAATTAGGCATGGGGCTGTGCGAAGCTTGTGGACCCCAGGAGATTCCCCACTCTGCTTTCAGAAAAGGACGATCACTGAGGAATGTATGTATGCATATGTATACTCATATGGTTAGAAAGTGTTCAAAAGATATTAAAGTATAGGTGACTAATCTTTTTTCACATTATTATTTACTCCATTTTATGCATTTATTTTGTTATCCTGGGACGGAACCTACAGCTCTACACATGCTAGACGCATAACCACCTGCCTGGCAAGGGCAAGGTCCTGAGTTCCATCCCCAGTACTGAAAACAAAAACAAAAACAAGCAAAAACCCCCAGCTAGGTGAATACCCTAGCACTGAGTTATACCCCAGCAACACCTCCCTTTTATTATTTCAGACAAGGCCTTGCTAAGTTGTCCAGGGTGGTCTAGAAATTTCAATCCTCCTACATCAGCTTCCTGAGCAGTTAGGATTATAGGTGTGCCCCACCATGCTGGGCATAGGCATTACTTTGGTTGACAAGAGGAAATACGTTATTTAATTTTATTTATTTATTTATTTATTTATTTATTTGGCAGAACCGGGTATTGAACTCAGGCCCTTACGCTTGCCAGGGAAGCGCTTATTCCACTGAGCCATCTCCCCGGCCCTAAAATACGTTATTTTAAAGAGCAGAAGGTATAGAAAAGTGGCCTGGAGGAAGCCCTGGGTGTAGGTCAAGTGGCTGATGTCCAAGCTGAGGGGAGGCTGTGCTCCTGTCCAAACCTGGATGGTCACCCAGCCAAGAGACACCTGCTGGGGCCTGGGCTTCCTGAGGCATGCTGCCCACGGAGCCTCTCGGCCTCGCTCTCTGTGCCCTTCAGCTCCGGCACACAGACTCTCCTGCTTTTCAGGCCTGCTTTAGGGAAGGTTCCAAACCTGTCTCCAATGTACCGTATGTGAAGTGCACTCCACTCAGTTACCAGGAAGATATATTCTACAGAGGTGTCGTGTGAGCCCCAGAGCCAGGTGCGGCAGTGGTGTAAATCTGTAATTCCAGCTCTTGAGAGACCAGGGCAGGAGGATCATGAATTTGAAACCAGTCTGGACTGCTTAGTGAGTTCAAAGCTGGCCTGGATATAGTGAGACCCTGTCTCAAAACAAAAGATGTGTTTTGTAAAAATGCCACACACATACATATGCACAGAGGTAGGGTAGGCTAGAGACGTGGAAACTGGAGGGCCAACTGACTGACAGTTCTTTATGACCCACCAGCCACTTCAGTCCTAGTAAACTGCCCTGGTGACTTCGGCCTAAAGTGACCTTCCTGCTCCTTGGCCCTTGGGCAGTGGCTCACGTGTCTCTCAAGTGTTTCTTGACTTCTGAACCTGCTGGCCAATGGGTGCGGCTCAGTCATGGCATTATCTCCAGAGACCCAGCAGGGGCCTGTGCATGTGAATAACCCCACCAGGTCACTCCCAGGTGTGGATTCCTGATGGGTCACGCACCTGAGCCTGGTAAAGGCCTTCCCAGCGTCACTGGGGCTCACTGGCTTTGTTCCTGGCAAGGGGAAATGCCCTTGGAGGGTGCAGTCAGCCTCCCCTCTCTAGCACAGTCATTTGTTGGTCAGAATGACACCCTTACCCCTGACAAGTGCCTGTGGGTCCCCTGAGCATGGGCGGGGTCTGCTCAGGCACTGGTCACATGTGCATACACTTCACACCAAGAGGTCTTACCGTGACAGGGCAAGGGGCCCACCTGGCCGCTGGGTCACTGTCCTCCCTCCTCACCTACATGAAGCACTCCAGAAGAAGGGTCTCTGCCACCAGCAGAAGGGACTGAAGCATTCCAAGGCTGCTTCTAGTTTGGTGGCTGTATGAAGTCACCCACAGGATCCTCTTTCAGAAAGTCCTCAATGGGAGGCGAACTCCTTGTTCTGTTCTGAAGTCAGAAAATCCAAGTAAGTGCCCTTGACTTATGAACTCGGTGCATTCCCAAGAGCTGGTTGTAACTCAGACTATTTTCCCCATCATAACATAAATACCTGTAATGCATTCCAAACCTCCCAAAGCACCCCTTAACTAATCTTTTCAAAATAAAAAAAGCATTGTACTAATGTGTGTAATTTATCAGAGACACCAATAATTTTCCTAGTGTACTCACCAAAATGTTATAAAATGTGCCCAGTTTTCCAGAAACAACAATTTCACATTGTATACACCATTCCAGTTGACATCTGTGTAGATTGACAACTGGTGGGCAACTTGTAACACTCAGCCGAACTGAATCAGTGTGGGGCTGGGTACAGAAGGCCCCCTGAAGATTGTTGCCAATAACATAAAAATGAAAACTGGAGAGGAAGAAGGAAAGAAGCTGGGAGCTGTTGGTTTTCCTGGAGGAGCTTGTCATGCTGGCTTCCCTGATAAGAACTTGGCTGTTCTCTTTGTAGAAGCTTGGGACCTTGTTGCTGAGGTACATTTCGGGGAGCTCTGGCTCTTTCTTTGAGCATCACTTCCTGGCTCCAGTGCAGATTCCTCAGTCTGCTAGCCCAGATCCTTCAAACCGCTGGCACAGACTTCCTAGCTTCCATCACTGATTTTTGGGCCTTCCCAACACAGATACTTGAAACAGGCCCGCGTGAGACATTATCATGGGCTCTAGGCCCCCAGCTGGACTCATGAGAGGCACTGTTATGGGCTCTAGGTCTTTAGCTGGATTCATGCAGGACATTGCTGTGGGACTCAGGCCCTCAGCTGGATTCTTTGGGTCTTCAATGTATAGACAGATTTCCTGTATTCTCTTTGTTTATGACCCTTTGGCTGATTATAAAATCATCCTATAAATTATGTGTCCAGTATTGTCTCACCTTGCAAATTCTGACTACATCTTTGGCTTGCATGAAGGATGAAATGAAAGGTGCTTGCTCTTCGGAAGAGTTCTCTTCCATGAGAACATCAGGAATCTGGCACTCCAGTGTCCTTTCCTTGGGAAAGCCTGCTTCTGGCTTACTAGGTCTCAGCCTTCTCAGAACTAAAAACTGGTCTAAGGTTGTCTGTATGCCTTTAACACTGTTGGGTAGTATGATATGCCACTGTCACTAAGCAAGTGAATGCAGCAACTGGCTATGAGGGATTGCTCTATGAATGTGTGTAGCTCTGTTCATTTTTTTTTTTAAAAGGATTTCCTTTATTTCCGAACTCTGTAGCACTGATCATTGCTACTCCCCCTCCTCTTCAGAAAGCTCCTCACTGCTCTGCTCTGTTGCTCAGCCAAAGTTGCAGAAGTTCCTCTGTACGGAGTTTCTCTAGTATCCTCCACCAGTTCCTCAACATCACCACTGTCTGCCTGCAAGCCTATGGACTCTGCTATAGTAACAGTGTCATTGATCACAGGGTCAGTGGAAGGCTCAGGCTGCTCTACACAGCCTTCATTCTCTTTCTCCTATATGACTGTTAAGGCACACTATCTTCCACGTAGATCTCAGTGTCCTCAAAAGACACTGGCCCACGATTTCTCAATTAATCCCACACAGGAAGGGATGATGCAATGTTCCTTCCAGAACATTAAGGGTTAAATCTGTATTACAGAGACCATCAGAAAGCACTTCAGGTACAGTTCCTTGGTGTATAGCTTTTTACAGTTAGTTATCACCTGCTGGTGCACAGGCTGCAGTAGAGGAGTTGTATTAGGTGGGAGGAGGTCAGCTGAGAGCCATGGGACTGCTTCAGCCCATCCTTCCAAATCCCATGGGTGAACAGGAGCACTGTGCACGAGGAGGAGAGCCTGGACTGCTAAGTTTTTGTCTTCTAGATATTTTCATTTTTTATTTATTTATCTTTTTTTGCGACGCCGGGGAATGAACTCAGGACCTTGTACTTGCCAGGCAAGCACTTAGTCTAACTAACCATCTCTCCGGCCCTCTTCTAGATATTTTTAAACAGTAGGACAGAAAGCCTCCCTGATCCACTCAAGGAAAAACACCATTGTTACCCAGGCTTTTACATTAAATCTCCACATGATTCCTAGCCTATTCTTCATGATTTTATGTTTTCTCAACACTCGAGGGGTCTCAGAGTGATAAACTAAGAGAAGCTTTTTTTTTTTTTTTGCAGAACCGGGGATTGAACTCAGGCCCTTGCACTTGCCAGGGAAGCGCTTATTCTACTGAGCCATCTCCCCGGCCCCGTTTCAGTGTTGTATGGAATTTTCAGCAGCCCTTTTCAGCTCTGGTTGCTTCACAATGCCTAGTTATGCTATGAACCCCAGTTCTTGCTTTAAAATTGCAAAACCACCCCTTACTGGCATAAAATGTTTCACCATTATTACTTGTTGATGGATTACCTCTTATGAAATTTGCATTTGTAGCCCTTTTTAAAAATAGAACTCAGGCTATTACCTGCCATCTGCCTTCCGTTTATCCACACCAATAACAGCCTCTATCTCCCTTGATTGTGACTTACAAATTTGAATAACACCTTTAGCAACACTAGCTGCCTTATACAAATCTCTTTTCTGTAAGATTGTTGAGATGGTGAACTTCAACATGCTGTACATATTACTGAGATCGGTCATATGAATGTCATATATTTCTGCACAATTTCTTCTTTTTGATTGTGATCACTTTCTTTTCCTCTCCTTCCTTCATAACCTTCTTTTCTAGAGTTTTTGGGGCCATCCTGATAGCAGTAACTATACAGCCAGTTATATAAAGCACTGGCTGAAATCACATTCACAAACACATGGATCTGGGCTCAGACTGCCACTTATGTAGGTTCACATATGCTTTTCTGGCCTTGTGAATCTTTGTGAGAGGATGAGAAAACAAGGGACTAAGGTAACAGGTGGGGAACAAGGGACTAAGGTGACAGGTGGGGAACAAGCTGGGAGGAGACTTGAGCTCTGCTGGCTCCACATTTGAGGCTATAGCTGCCTACAGGGTGTGGGCAAATAACTCCAAGGGCAGAGCCAGTAGGGGTATCTGGCCCTGCAGGAGCTGCAGCCCTGGGTAGGGCCAAGGCTCCAGCAGGGGGACCCAGCCTGCTTGGGAAGGTGAAGGCAGGGGCAAGTGACACTCAGGGCAGCGCTGGGTTGCAGGCAATGGTCTTGCACTGGACGAAGACCCATATGCACTGTAAACAGCAAAGAAAGGTAACTTTCATGTGTTAGCACTCTGCCATTTATGAACTACCTTTGTGTCTGTTGTTTTGAGGGGGAGTCAATATTGGGGATCCAACCAAGGCCTCTGCACTGAGCTACATCACCAGCCATTTTGATTTTTTTATTTAGAGTCTCACCAAGTTGCCAAGGCTCCCAGAGTGCTGGGACTGCAGCGTGTGCCACTGCGCCAGTTCTTATCTGTTATTTCACTTGACACTTACAGATGCTCAGGGGTCAAAGGACTAGCTGATGAGAGCACAGCTAGTCTGCGGGAGCCAGGGCCTGACCCCAGCTGGTTCTGGGCCCAGGAGGCTATATCTGAGTGGGCGGTGAAGATGGAGAAAAGATGGAGTGCGGGCTAGCTACAAGATTACAGGATGACATTTGGAAGACCTTGATACTGTGCAAAGCGCTAACCCTTTAGGAGTAGAGGCTATGCAGGCACCTGTAGAGGTGGGAGAAGTCTGTCTTCCCTCTGGTGTCCTCCAATGTCCTTGGGGCTCTTGGAGCCACAGTGATGGCCGCACTTAGCTCATCTGTAGCTGGAATATTCCCTCCTGCCTTTCACACTGGAAGCCAGGCTCCTGCTTCTTACCATAGCTCCAAGGAGAGATGCTCCGAAAGCCACAGCTAGACAAGGTCTCCGGGCTGAAGAGGGTGATGCTGTGACTCATGCACCCACTGCGTTGTCGGTGCCATTTTCTCTGGAGAACTTCCTGTTTTGGAGACAACAAAGAATATGGAGAGCTCTGAAGGAAAGTGAGATTATTTGGCTTTTTTCTTTTAATCAAGTGGCTTGCTAGACTTTCCCTAACCTCTGCAGTACATCTCTTTAAAATTAATTTCTGGGGCTGGTGCAGTGCTTGGTGGGCTTGCACTAGGCCCAGACTTCATCCCCAGAGCTAAAACAAAATAAGACAAAGTACAAAGGGAAAAATCCTTTTATAATTCTATTTCCCAGAGATAGTCTAAATGTAAATCATCTAATTTTTTTTTTTTTGGGGGGGACTGGTGATTGAACTCAGGCCCTTTTGCTTGCCAGGGAAGCACTTATTCCACTGAGCCACCTCCCCGGCCCCTAAATCATCTAATTAAAAAAAATATTTCTGCAGTATTGGGAACTGATATACATCCCTAGGCTATTCTTATTTTTCATTTTAAGACAGGGTCTTGCTAAATTGCTAAGTTGCCTAGGCTAAGCTTAAACTTGTGATCCTCTTGCCTCAACCTCTCACAGGGCTGGGATTACAAGTGTGTGCTACCATGTCTGGCTTGATTCACCTTTGATAAAAGTCACAGTTTAAAAAACTAAACAACTTTATTATAAAGAAAATGTAATTTAGATATATTGATATTATAACCATATTTCCTAGATTTTACAACAAATGTCTTTGTTCAAATACTCTGTCTTATTGTTCTCAAAAACCATTAGTACAGCTAAGAAATTTCAATTTTTCAGAATCTAAACCACTTGTCCCTGACAGCCTCTAAAGCTGGGAAGAGTACCCACATTCTCTGTTAGACTCCTCATTATAGTTTTCTTATTTATGTATTTTGGTGGTCCTGGGGCTTAAGCTCAGGGATTTTGTATTGAGCTATATTCTTAGCCTTTTTATGTATATATGGATGTATTTCTTGAGACAGGGCCACTACATTAAATCATTCAATTGAGACGCTCACTGAGTCACTAAATCGCCAGGCTGGGCTCCACTCCGAAATCCTCCTGCTTCAGCCCCCCAGAGTGCAGGGCTTACAGAGAGCACCACACCCAGCCTTATTAGTTTTCTATTGCTGTGTAAGATTGCCCTGAAACTTAGCAGCACCCAGCAACACGCTTTTACGAACTCCCTCGGGCTGGGCGCCTGGGAGTGGCTTGAGCTGGGTGGTGCCAGTTCAGGGTTCGTCATAAGGTTGAGGGCAAGTTGTCTAATGAGCCTGAGAATCTTTTTAAACTTTGGATTTGTGTCCCCAGAGATCACAGTTCTTCTAAGAATGCAGTATAGAAAGATAACAAGTTTCAGGGCCTTGGGGATCATATCTTTCAGCAAGAAGGTACAGTACTGCATACAGGAGTTTCAAGAATAGATTTAGCAAGACCATATCTCACAGAAAATCCCTCAAGAATTAATTTGCTGGGTTGCTGAGATAGCTCAGTGGACTAAGTGCCCACTTGGGCAAGTGAAGGGACTGGGGTTCAATCCCTGGCACCACATGCTGCACCAGCCCTGCCCTCGGGCCTGCTGGGCTGGCCACCGAGACCAGGCATGGTGGCACATGACCGTAATCCCTGTGCTGGGGAGGCTGAAAACAGGAAGATCACTATGAGTTGTAGTGAAATCCTGTACCAAATACATTAAAAAAAAAAAAAAAAAAAAAAAAAGAATTCATTTACTGCCATCCTTGTATCTTCCAGGCTGCAAATGGGATATTTTAAAACAAATGCCTGGGGCCGGGCAGATGGCTCAGTGGAATAAGCACTTCCCTAGCAAGTGCAAGGGTCTGAGTTCAATCCCCGGTTCTGTCAAAAAAATAAATAAATAAAAATAAATAAATAAATAAATAAGTAAAATAAAACAAATGCCCCTAGTGGCATAAGTGCCTGCCTGGTAAGCACAAGGTTCTGTGTTTGATCCCCAGAACCCCGCCACCAAAAAAAAAAAAAAAAAAAAAGTTTAAAGCAAACGCCGGACACCACACCTTTATTTCCCTGATGAATAACCATTGTGTGCCTCTAGCAGAGGATTAAAATTATATAGAACAGAATTTAAATGTGTACAATAGTTTAGTATGTTGGCCATGATCAATCTCAGACATTAATTTTCTTTCACCTATGGTCTTCCCTTCCTCCTCCCCCAATACTTTTCCTACCCTCTTTTTGCAGTACTGGAAACTGAATCCAGGACCTTGCCACACAAGATAAATGCAACATGGTTCTCTAGGGCTCTATTTCTTTATTTTAAAATTATTTTGTGTGGTACTGGGAATTGAACCCAGAGCCTTTGTGCTGAGCCTTATACCCTTTTTTATTTGGGGGACAATCTTCCTAAGTTACTAAATTGCCCAAACTGGCCTCAAACTTGTGATCTTCTTGACTCCGCCTCCCCACACCAGACTCTTTTTCTTTAAAGTATAACTCCAAATTATCTCAACTAAACATTTTAAGCAGTAATTTCTTAACAGTGTTAATGTTCACATATTACTAATTTTTAAAAAATCCACTTAGTTGGCAGAATCATGATCCGAATATGGTCTACAACGCACAATGCATTTGGCCAGGAAGTTTCCTCATCTATTGGTCCACTTTCCTCTTTACATAATTTTTTAAAAAAACATTGCGGAGGGGGCCGGGGGATGGCTCAGTAGAATAAGCGCTTGCCTGGCCAGCGCAAGGGCCTGAGTTCAATCCGCAGTGCCGCAGGAAAAAAAAAAAAAAAAAGTAATAAACAAATAAAATACATTGTAATTTGCTTACTAAAGTACTACATTGTTTATACTCGAACAAAAGCATACTTCTTGACTGCTGGCCTCGGTTCCCCCTTTTCTAGCAGAAGAGGACTGGGCGAGATGGGGTCTGGGGCTTCCACTCTGACCCTCTGCGAGCCCCTAGCACCAACAGCATCCTTTGAGTGACAATAGCCAGAAGTGGGCCAACTTCGCTCCGCGAGAACCTGCGCTGCGAGCCGATCCGAGAGAAGCAGGAGCCCAGTTCTGGAGGGCGGGACCAGGCTGGCGCCGAGGCGGGGCGGCAGTGTCATCCCTCCCTACCGTGGCGGCCACTGCCCCCTCGTGGGTCCCGGAGGACCGGCCACCCTGGCACCGACTCGGGGTTCGAGGCCGTGGTAACCCAAGAGGTGGCTTACTGTAGGACAGGAACTCCTCCTCGTGCTAAGGGCGAACGGGGCTGCTTACTCCGTCCGCGGTGCCTGCCGTTTGCCTGCGGTGGCCGCTGGCGAACACTAACTGTAGCTGTAGGGCGGCTAGGGCGCGCAGCCGGCTCCGGCCCAACTACAACTCCCAGAGTCCTCTGCGGCAAACAGGTTACCACGGAGACAGGCCACGACAGCGACGGTGGCTTCGTTGGCATTCCAGGTTTTGGTGGCTTGACCTCCAGGTTGCCGTGGCCACCCGCATGGCTTCAAAACTGGCTGTTCACTTTCTCCCGCCCTCCGACCCTTACCTGTGGAGACCGGGAAATTGTGCCACGGCCTGTGGGAAGGCTGAACTACATCTCCCAGAATGCTCCGAGCACACACCATTTCCGATTCCGAGTCTCGTGGAGCTGTCTCAGTGTATTTGGGCCACTGAAGCCCCAGGGAATAGAGGAATAGAAGTCAGAGAAAATGTCTAGAGAAGGCTAGCATGATTACTTTGGCAGTAAAGCAACGTCGGAGGGCACGTCTCCTAATTTGCCACTTCTATTTCTATGGACTCAGGGCCAGCGGGAGCGGCGCACAGCCCTATGGGAAGTGCAGGAGACACTGCCCCCAAGAACTATGGGAAACGTTGCTCCCTCCCCCTGCAGTTTAGCCCCCGAAGTCAGCCGAACACGGAGGGTAGGGCTCTCTACTTTTTCACTCGCATTTTGAATACCTAAACAGATTTTTGCCTCCTAAATATTTAACAGAAGGTATCTTTTTCTTTCCATGTCCACCCTCACTGGTGCGTTTCAGACATTGTGGTTTTCCTAATTGCAAAGCTTGTCCTCAGTCTCTTCCTATTAGGTCTCTTCTACATTCTTCTCCCACCACAGTACCGTGTATTTGCTCTGCTGAAGGTTCTTCAGTGCCTAACAGAATCAAGTCAACTTTTTAGACTGGCGTGTATATTAGGCCTTTATCTATGGACTCTATTCTCATACAGAAGAATCATAGCTTGTTCTTTATCTCGTTTGTGATTGAGTTTTTAAAATGTAGAGCTCAACTTACTGCTTTTAACAGTCACATCCGAAAAAGAATTGATAAACTCCATGCACTGAATTTGCGAGATACATATATTTTTAAAGTTAGAAGTGGCGGTACACACTCCTGTAACCCCAACTATTTAGGAAGCCCAGATAGGAGGCTTACCTACTTCAAGGCTAGCCTGCGCAATTGTCTTGTGTTGAGAAAAAAGGTTGTGGGTGTAGCTCAGTGGTGCGGTGCTTGCCTAACTTGGAGGCTCTTAATTTAATTCTCGGAATAGGCTGTAGGTATCACAGATTTTAGGACTGTAAATACAAGAAATGGGTTATGTGTTTTTCACAGAACACCTTGAATATCTAACATCTACTATTACTCCTAATCCAAAGAGTAAATCTGCATTGAACCTCGAGACAAGACAAAGCCTACCCCAAGGCCTAGATAAGAATGAACTATTAGAATGCAGGAAAAGAAATGATGTGTTACTCACTTCAAAGCTCTAGGAACTTTCCCTTTGAAGTGGGAATAGTTGGCAGACATAACATTTCCATTGGCTTTTAACTTCAGTAGGAAGAATGGTCCATATCACCAATGTAGAGAATTAACTGATAATACAGTTTAGATAGAAGTCATACCAAAAGTATGTAATTTGTTCTTAACATTTAAAAGCTGTTTCCCCCTTCCTCATTTATTTAATTTCTTTGGTTTTGGTTTCAAAACATGAAATTTTTTTCTTCTTTAATGAAAAAGTGCATTTGTTGAGAAAGTGTAAGCCAAGGCCAGAATATTTATGTATTTCTCAACAATTAGGCAGAGAAGGCTGAAGTTAAGGTCTAAACCATACCTCAGTTTTTCTGAAATAATAAGTGCCTGGTTGCTTTTTCAGTGGGCCATCAAGAGTGTTACTTTTTAATCAAGTTCCTACATGATGAGTTGCCAGAAAAACTCCACTCTTTGTCATAATGATTTTGCCTCTCTTAAGATATAGAAGGGCCTCTCAGTGTTCTTCACAGAATATAATGATCTCTATGGGCTTTGCCCAACCAATTTTGAGATACAGGGCAGGCAACTTACATTGCATGAGAATAAGTGGTCAGTTTTTAACAATGGATGGAACTTCAGAACACTACTTGCCTTTTGGTTCAAAGAACTACGATGTTGTATGTGCAACACTCTCGGCAGCCATTGCCAGCCTGGATTCAAATCTAGTTAATATAGTCCTTATTTGCGCTGCTTATTGTATTGTGTATTATCCAGCTGTTACTATAACAAAATAACTGATAGCCAACTTAATACCAGTAAAGTTGTTTGTGGCTCATAGTCTTGGAAGATTCAATCCAATGTTGGTCACATTGGCTTTGGGTCCGTAGTGAGATAGCATATCATGGCTGGGGGAATAGGACACAGTAGATCTACTCATCTCATGGCAGTAGAGAAGTGGAAAGAGAAACGAGACCAGTGTCCCACAATCCACTTTGGAGGCATATCCCAAGGACCTAGTCTCTCAACTAGGAACCAGATCTTCATGGTTCTCACCACCTTCCAACAGCAGTGAGATGGGGGTCTAAGCTTTTCCCATATGGGCCTTTAAGACATGGTTAAGATGCAAATCATAGCCCTGTGGTTATTGCTTTACCAGTCTCAGAGGCTGTGTTAGTTACTTTCTCTTTGGTAAGATACAATGCCTGACACGACTTAAGGAGAGGTTTAGGCTTATGTTGTCTCATGTTTTCAGGCCATAGTTATCAGGCTCCAAGGCAGATAGGGCATGCTGGAACAGTCTGGGTGGATACACCCTTCCTTCTTTAAAAAGAACCACATAAAACAGGTTATATATCAAGCAGTTGATGAAAATACCCTGAGGTAGGTTGGCAGTTGGCAGGTACTCTGTAGTTCCTCTAAAGCAAAACTCAGTATTACTAATTCAGCATTCTCGGTGACTTTATAGAACATAATTACTCTGAATAACAAGAATCAGCTTATTTCAGTGTTTCCTTCATGGTTCTGGAGGCCAGAAGTCCAAAATCAGTATCACCAGATCCAAATAAGATGCCACCAAGGCCAAATTCCCTCTGGAGGTTCTAGCAGAGCCTATTTCTTGCCCCTTCCAGCTTCTGGGGCTCCTCTCCTGTCTTGGTTTGTGACTGAATCACTGTAGTGTCTTCTTTTTTTTTTTTTTTTGTTCTGTCCCATGTTGTTTTTCCTGTCTGTGTGTCAGTTGATACACTATGTCAACTTGGCTGAATCAACTCAGGCAGTTCTCAGCGAGGGCCTAGCCCTGCAGGTGGGCAGGGCCCAAGAAATGAGAAAGGCTTCCTGCCGCCCTACCCGTCTTCTGTGGAGAAGTCACAGTCTTGGGAGGAGCTTGATCTTGGCAGCCTCGCCACTTACGCAGCTGTTGCTCCTCTGCTCTTTGTTTTCTGCTGCATGAACTGCTGTTGTTTGCCTTGGAGCCAGCAGAGTATGGACTGAACCCTCCAGTAACTGAGCTAAATAAACCTTTCCTTCCTTCATTCTGAGTGTTGGGTATTTGTCCCAGCAATGAGTAAACAGTAACTAAGACAGCGTCTCTCTCAAATCTACCTCTATTACAGCACCTTTACAATTACATTTGGGGTTCACAGAGATAACCAGTTACAAAACATGAAGACTCTACTTTGTTGTTGTGGTTGTACTGGGAATTGAACACGAGGGCTTTGGACTGAGATATATGTCTGGCCCTTTTTATTTTTTATTTTGAGTCAGGGTCTTGCTAAGTTGCTAAGTTACTCAGGCTAGGCTAAAGCTTGCAGTCCTCCTGCCTCAGCTTCCCACAGTATTGGCATCATAGAAATGAGACAATATGCTCAGCTCCCCTGCTTTTTTTTTGTCAAACTAAAACATAGTACTTAAATTTCTGACTCTACCTCAGTATTATTTAGAAAAACAGAAGGAAGGCTGTATGGGGCGAGGGGTCTCCCATCCAGGTACCAGGTATCAAACTGGGAACTTTGTGCTTGCCAGGCAGGCCCTTAAACCACTTATCTATATTCCCAGGGGTCACTGGGGAAAGGGTTTTGTTTTATCATATATACAGTGAACAGCTAGAAGAGGGCCTTACATATCACAGTAGGGGCTCAACTAGTTGGAATTTGTTGACTGAATCAAGAAATGAAGATCACATCCAAACCAATACACCTGGATTAAACTGATGATGTGTCTTTGGGCTATGATGGCTACAGTTCCACAATTTTTATAGTTTGATACATATGAAAGGGAGGGGATTCCTCAATTTTCCAGCTTTTTGGAAAGGCCTGGGGTCATGGAATCAGAATCCAGTGAAAGGATTTTCCCACCTGAACTAAGGACAGAAGATAGCACGAGTCAATTCCTGGCTGACTACTACCTTCTGGGAGAAGAGGACAATGTTTTCTGTTGGCGCAGGGACAAGTAAATATGAGCAGCTGGGTACGATTGCAGTTCTGTGCGGGAGCAGCCGACTGCATCAGGAAGTGGATGTCCTGGGCATAGGCTATTAGGTGATGATTGACATCTCCTCCCTGTCTCTGCTCTCAGACATGGAACTGATGATGTTTTTCAAGTATTTCATGAACTCCATCCGGATCTCTTCAGGCTCATCCTCAAGATTGGAGTGCACCAGCTTCAGCTTGTTCAGTGGTGGCGCTTAAAAGGAGAATCAGGTCAGTTAGGTGCAAACTTTCCACAAGGAGGCCCTCTTTTGCTCCCAATGACCTAGACTTTTAGAAGTCTATTGAACTTTCTAAAGCCTAGAATTAGGGGCTGGGGAGATGGCTCAGTAGAATAAGTGCTTGCCTGACCAGCACAAGGGGTCAGTCCTTGGTTCTGCCAAGAAAAAGAATAAAGTCCAGAAATAAAGTTGTGTCTTGCTTGACACAGCAGAGAAGGGTTTCATGATGCTGTCACCTGGCAACACAGCAAGAACTACACCAACCACTTTCTGTAGTTTTTGTGGTGCTAGGGATGGAACTTGGGGCCTCATGTATGCTAGACAAGGGTTCTGCCACTGGGCTGCACCCCAGCTCTTTCTCTGTGCTCTTAACCCAGGAATGGATTCTCTCCTATTCTTTGTTTCTGGCTTTCTTCCTTTCTCTCTCTCTCTCTCTCTCTCTCTCTCTCTCTCTCTCTCTCTCTCTTTCTTTCGAGGCAGGGTCACACTATGCAATTCAGGCTGGCCTTGAGCTCGCTTTGTAGCCCAGGCTGGTCTGGAACTCACAATGATCTACCTGCCTCAGCTTTCTAAGTGCTGGGAATTACAGGTATGTGCCACCATGCCTGGGTATTTCTGAATATACTGTGAATTGTTTTCCAGGATCACTTTTGTCACCTTGCTCATGTGTCATGTTAAGCCTTGGAGGCTTTCTTGGCCTGTCAGGAAGGTAGGAATACATCCAGTTGGATCAATGAATAGTGAACACCAGCTTCCCCTCTCTTGGAGTCTGTCTGCTGTTCAGTGCCCAGATGCTGGCCTGGGTGGCTCTTTAACACATGCCTACACATGGCAGGTGCTCAGTGGCTGCACAAAGCTAATGGGCTCAAAGACAAGAGTAACACATGGGTGCCCCAAATGCTGACAAGAGGAGGAGAGGAAACTGAAGTTTCCTTACACAAAGACAGGCTCCCCATGTCGCCTCCAGAGCCTGGTTTGTGATGTGCAATTAGCAGGCACTGAGAATCCTGTAAGAACTGCTGCTGGACAAAGCAGGAATACCACATCTCGATTTCCTTCAGGTGGCTTGGGATGTCGGCATTGAAGACAATAACCACCCCATGGGCATCCTTCATCAGGGCCGGCCAGCAGGACTCAAACCTAGAAATCAGGAAGGGAGTTAGAGCAAGAGTTAGGTCAGCCTGGTTTCTAACAGCATTTTATTGCATTTCATTCAGATTTCTTTTGTGGTGCTAGGGCTCAAACCTAGGACTTCAAGTATGGTAGGCAAGCACTCCACCACTGAGCTACATCTCAGACTTGATATTTAAGTCACTATACAGCAGATTATTATTATTATTTTTTCAGTCCGGGGATTGAACTCAGGCCCTTGTGCTTTCCTTATTCTACTAAGCTATCTCCCCAACCCCTAGGCAGCAGATCTTTAAAGGAAACATACTTAGCATCACCGCCACAGTCCCAGAGCTCAAACTCACACCCTGTGCCCTTGTTGCTGGCGACATTTGGGTTCTCAAATTCCAGGATCCTAAAAATAAAAACAGCAGCAGAGAAATCTTTACTTAGGAAGTACTTTAGGAATGCCAAAACCCCAGCAAGTAGGAGGTGGGTGATGGTGGGTGATGGTCGGTGATGCTTCGGGACACGGGCTGGGCAGGCTAACCTCACTCCTTGGGTTGGGTTGTATTCGGTGATGTCGGAAGATTCAGTCAGAAAGTTGGCCAGAACAGTTTTTCCACTCTGTGAAAATAAAAGTGAATAAAGGTCTCTGTTGAAAAACAAAAGGATAAACCATAAAGATCCCTTTCCATAACTGGCTTGGAATGTAGTGTGGTCCTACAGGCCATAGACCATACTGGCTTGCTCTTTGGTGGTGGGCACAGCCTGGTCTGGGAACCAGGGGACCTGAGAGTCTAGGCTTTGTTGCTGAGGTGACTTTAACCACACTGATTCCCCCACCCAGCACTCAACTACCAAACCTAAGAACAGAAAAAAATATCATGTGTCTCTCTTGCCTGTTCCTCTCTATACCTTCAGGAAACCAGTCAGTTATAGGTACCAAGCCACTGAGGCTGAGAGAGGGGAAAGGAATTCTCTGAGGTCACAGAGAGGATCAAGATCAGAGCTGGGCCCAGGGCCGGGGACTGGCCATGCCGCAGTTCCACAGAAAGCAGTTTCTCTTTATGTAATACAAAAGTAATGTACATCCCCACGTGAACTAGCCACAGAACCAAAAAACGGCCTTCCTCATCCCTCCATTCAAACCATCCTTTGATCTGTCCCATTCCCTCATGTTTATGTCTGAATATAAAAAACTTTTTTTGGTCACTTCCAAAGAAAGGCAGTCTCTTTAGCTTGGGTGCTTATAAAAATTTCTAAATTGAGTGTGGTGGTGCTTGCCTGTAATCCCAGCACTCTGGGAGGCTGGGCCAGGAAGATACCAGCCAGCCCAGGCAACTTGGTGATTTAGGGAGATGCCATCTCAACAGCCCCCACAAACAAACAGGGGGCTGAAGTCATAGTTCAATGCAAAAGCCCTGTTTTTAATCTTTAGGACTGAAAAAAAAATCAAAACCAAAAACATAAAACACAAAACCCCTCCCATTCTCCTGCCCTCTAAGATATTTTAGTCTGAGCAACAACTGCTTGGCTAGAAGGATCCTGATCAATGCTAGTTCGGGAGACTTTGAGAGGTCCATTGACAGAATCAGAAAAATAAAAGTGGGGGTGGGGACCCAATACTACTGTAGTAATTTTCCCTAAAGATGAAGCCTTACAAATTACATATGATCTAAACAAACACAGCAAGTGATGGTGTTGTAGAGATCATGCATGTTTGTTTTTAAGGCTGAATAAATGAAGCAAATGCTTTGAGATTATAGGAACAGGTTCTGGGTTTGAATACATTTCCAGGAGTGAAGCCACACACAGATTCAAAAAGTGCTGTTTCTAAACAACTTAGATGGGGAAGGATGATGTGTTTTGGAAGATAGGTGAGAGGGATGGGAAAGTGGCAAGACTGGGAAGCGAGAACTGAGATACACTTTCTTGTTGATGCTGGGGGCTGCGTGCCAGGAGTTCACAGTATTTTTTTGTCCTCTAGATACTTGGAAATTTTCATTAAAAAAAATTTCAACACTTGTTTTTTATAATTCTTAAAATTTTGTCTTGGAGGGCTCTCTGTATCAGCACACACAGAACTGCCTCATTTTGCTTAATTGTTGCATAGTCTTTGAAAGTAGGAATGTGTTGCTGAACCTGGCGGCATAAGCCTGTAATCCCAGCTCTCAGAAGGCTGAGGCAGAAGGATTGCCAGGAATTAGAGGCCAGCCTGGACTCCACAGTGAATTTTAGGGGGGAACTTTGGACTACACAGTGAGAACCTATCTCAAAACAAACAAACAAATCAAAAAAGAAAACATGGGAGGCATCTTAGTTTTTAAGATACTCTTATTGGTGAGTGAAGGTGTTTCCAGTTGTTCAGTATTGCGTATGACTCAGGAACATGGAAAAGCTCTCAGGTATAGCAATGATTACTACACCAAAAGTGAGGCACATTGTAACTTTTAATTATTTGCTCTCCATAGAAGGTATTATCTCTGGGGATGGTAGCTCATGCCTGTAATTCGAGCCCTCCAGAGCTGAGGCAGCAGGATCATGCATTTGAGGCCAGCCTGGGCTACATGAGTTCAAGGCCAGGCTGGACTAGAGTGATTCTCTGTCTCACAAAACCAAAACCAAACTCCCTGCCCAAAAAAAGAACAAAGACAAAGACAAACAAAAATACACATGTTATTAGAATCTCCACAACAGACTCCTAGAACATTTTACTACATGCATCTTAACACTGCATATTAGCATTCTTAAACTTTCCTCATCCAATTTGGTGGGCAAATAAATAGCATCTTTTTATTTTAATCACTGTCCCTGTGACTGAGATTGAGTGTCTTCTCATATGTAGTTACTGGACACTTTCATTTCCCGATTTTAATTGTGTGTAGTGCCTTTAGTTGATCTGTGATTGAACTGTTTCTGTTTACTGCGTTTTAAAATTTCCTTGTATAGTTTATCTAAGGATCCTTTCTTTGAAATGCATTTTGCAAATACTTTCCTTAGGCCTTAACTTCGCTATTATTTCTTCTAAACCACCTTCATTTTTGTGTTGTGGTTAAGAAAATCTTCTCTAACTCAAGATAAAAACACCTTTCTCCCCACACTGACATGAATCCACAGTTGTTCTCCATGTGTGATCTGTGCACCAGCAACATTAGCACCACTCTAGACTGGTGACAGCAAACTTTTAGAGCTTTCAATAACAGATGCTGTAGCACTAGGTTTGCCACCACTGCCCTAGATCACTATCAGCAAAATCCAACTCACAGGTCCATCCTGGGTCTCATGAAATAAAAACGCTGGGGTAGGACCTGGTGATCTGCGTTTTAATACCATCCAGGTGATCTGGAAGCATTCTGAAGTTGGACAGTACTCATCTATCACTTTTCTTTTTGGATGGCTCAAGCTGTCGTAGGAACGGGTCTGGTGTGGCCTGTGGAGCTGGGGGTCGAACTGCGGTCCCCTGTACCTGACTGAGTTTGCCCAAGCCGGTGCTTTAAACAACGGAGCTAACCTGCAAGCCTCCTCATCTATTACTTCTACAGTGTCTTTCCGCCATACAGTTCACTTTAGTCTATGTAAATTTTACTTTTGCGTACACCACGAAGTGCACATACACATGGAAGCCTGGCCACTACTGTCACTCACATACATCAGTAGCCAAGGGTTCCAAACCATTTAAGAAATAATCTCGTTTTCCCTCCTGTTTCTGTAGTCCCACAAACATCCATTAGGGATAACGGGAACGGGCAAAGCATGAGTCAGAAGACCCAGGCCCCAGTTCCAAAGATGCCACTTACTATGGTGGAGCCTTCGGGGGTCTAAACACCAGGTTCTAGCTAGACGTGGTGGAGCACGCCTGTAATTCTAGCTCCTAGCTCCGGAGGCTGAGGCAGGCGGATCGCTACAAGTTTGAGGCCGGCCTGGGCTACATAGTGAGTTCAAGGCCAGTCTGAACTGCCTAGTGAAGCCCTGTCTCAAAAAAGGAAAGAAAAAAAAAAAAAGTGAACACCATCTCGGAGTTCTGGTAGGCTCGCCGGGGTGGTAGCTTTAAGACCCGATGGTCACCTCCTGGGCGGTTGCTTATGTAAGGCACAGACTAAGGGGATGTCAGTCCCGCAGCCGCGCCGAGTCTGGCCTCACCTCGCAGGGCCCCACGAAGAGGATCTTGGCCTTCAGCATCTCTGTCGCCGTCCGGGAGCACCACAGTGTCGGCCGGCGCCGTGGGATGCAGCGCGACTTCGCTCAGTCAATCTCCGCGCTGAGCCTCAGCCTTCGTTTCCATGGTGACCGGGAGCGGCGCGCAGGGGCTGTCGGGATTAGGCACTTCCGGGAGCGGCGGGCGGAAAGAAGGCGCGAGACGCAAGTGGAGAGAGAGCTGGAGGGAAGGCGCGCAGCTGGAGCTGCTGAAGAGGTTGTGGTCCCGAGGCTCGGAGCTCGCCAGTCCTGCTTCTCTTTGTAGAGACGTGGAAAATGAGACTCCAGGAGGGGGTGCAGTGGCCGGCTCCCAATTTTCGTTATTCATCCTAATCCGAGTGCTCAGCAAGGCGGAATAGCTGGTGACTTGAGCTGGGTACCAGGCCTTTGGCTTCTTTGTCACACTTGGATGCTGCAGCCCACATTGGGATCCCATTTATCAGCCTTGTCCCAGGAGAATAAAACGCTAAAGTGAAGGGAGGCAGAAAACAGGTTTCCAGGCTCTTAGAAAGGGCGGCGCCACTCACAGTTACTAGGATCTGGGAGGAACCGAAAGGGCATTGTTTAGTCACTGCGGGTGTTTGGGAATATTCCTGCTAAATTAGGCCAGCCTTAAATTACGTAGCCAGAGCATATGGTGTAGTTTTAGAACTAAATAGCCAAATATGATCGGGCACTTGTTTACTTTTGGTACAAACTCATTTTCTTTTCCTTTTTTGCTTTGTCTCCTGGGCCACACACTTGACCTCTTCCATACCCTCCTTGTGACTTGCAATGTTCATTCCAGTGACAAGACAGCCAAGTAAATTCCTAGCAGGAGTTCATGATAACCTAGGGTACACCCCTGGGTGTTTCTCTTCATACATTTTACACATGCCTGTTCTACACAGTTCTCTGTACCTGTGGATCTAGGAGAGGTCACTAAAACAGGACAACTCTGATTTTGGCTGAAGCTTTGAAGACTGACAATAGATATCACACGTGTTTGGATTTTTGTTTGTCTCTTGGGAGCTAGTATGTCACCTGAAAGTTATTGAATTATGAGGTTGATGAAGAGAGGAAGAATTTCTTTGGAGAGAATGCTGTTTGCTTACCTTAGGTCAAGTAAGGAGAGATGGAGTTCAGAACACGTGTCCTTCAGAATTTGGACAGCATGAGGATAAGGATGAGAAGTCATAGGGAAATCTGGTCCAAGAGTAAAGAAAGAGGATGTGCTGGGAGTTGCCAAGGATGCAGGAGATTTTCCATAGGAAGCTGAGCTGGGTAGGAGTTTGGCTCTGAGTAGGAAAGAGGTTCCCTGGGCTACAGACCAGTACTAATTTATGGTCTGTTAGGAGCTGGGCCACACAGTAGGAGTTGTAAGAAGTAAGCAAGGGAGGGAAACTTCAACTGTGTTTATAGCCAGTCCCCACGGCTGGGGGCATTGCCCTGAGGTGCCTCTTTTGTTTCCACCCTTCAGTGAAGCTGCTCCTGAGAGGGGTCTGAGTTCCCAGCTCTGTTTGAATTATTCCCAGAACACCCCCAACCTCTCACCCTTGTCTGTGGAAAAACTGTCTCTCTTGAAACCGTTACTTGGCACCAAAATGGTTGGGAAACACTGGTTTAGGATCTTGCCTATGAACACCCCGGGAAGGTGGATTCTTCAGAGAGAGTGCTTCCAAGAATGGCCAGAATGATGCAATCAGTGTGTTTGAAGAAAGTATTCTCAGGGGGATTCATGGTAATGTCTTTTTTTTGAAACAAGGTATTTCTGTGTGACCCAGGTTGGCCTCGAACTCATGGCAGTCCTCCTGCCTCAGCCTTCTAAGGGCTAAAATTAATAGGTGTGAACCACCACACCTGGTGGTAATGCTTTTTCTATAATCAATTTTTTTAAAATTAACACTCACATGTTTTGTCGTCATACTAATTAGGAAATTAGACATTACACTTTGAAACCTTAAATATCTTCTTGGCTACTATCCGCCAATCTGGGCCTATTCTCTCCTATCCTAGCTTCGAATCCTATTCTCCATCTTCTTAGCATTTCTCAAGGCTTCTCTGCTCCCTCACTTTTTTTGGGTGTTGAGGATGGAACCCATAGCCCTGTGCATGCTAGGTAAGTGCTCTGCCACCAAACCGTATTCCCAGCCTCTGCCATGTTTTGTGCTGTCCCTGCAACTCCTCTTCGCTGTTTGGAGCACACCATGATGCCATCCTGATTAGGGCAATTATACTATCCTTAAAGAGCTAGATAATTAACATCCTTTGGGCTCATTTTATTTATTAATTTTTTTGTGGTACTGGGAATTGAACTCAGGACCTTGCACTTGCCAGGCAAGTGCTTATTCTACTGAGCTATTTCCCCAGCCCCTGGGGCTCATTTTAAAGCATACATTTAAAGATGTGTGATTGAATCCTTGGCTCCCAGTGCTAGGAGGAGGAGGCACGTAGTCTTAGTGAAAAATGAACATGGCATGGAAATCTGGAGGAGCTTTGCGTTTTGCTTGGGAATTAATGTTGTTGAAGCAAAAGCTACAGTAGAACAAGGTGCTCTAGAGATGCAGGATTGGAAAGTCTAGGACTAACGTGCAGTTCTGCAGTGGCTCAAACATTAGGCTCTTTTGAGGTTTTTTTTTTTTTCCTGCTGGTTCTGTCTTTGTTCTCATGCATGTTACCTCATGGTCACAAAGTGGCTGGTGTGCTTCCAGCCGTCATCCTAGCAATTAAGGAATGAAGGGGGAGGGAGAATTGCTGTGCTGGTTGAGTCTATTCCTATTCATAAGCCTATTCATAAGGAACTGTTGTGGTTTGTGTCTCATTGTCCCCCTAAGGTCTGATGCAGTCATTGGGGAGGTTTCTAGAGTTTGTGATTGATTCGTGGTGTAATGCTGAGATTATGGGTGTGAGTGTTACACCCACCCTAGAGTGGATGATCCGAACACAATATGAGGAGGGGAGAGAGGCTTCCTAGCTGCCTCAGTCACTGCTCCTCCCATTTCTCTTTGCTGTTTTCTGCCACCATGAACTGCTGCCCTCTGTCATATGCTACTCTGCCTTGGAGCCAGCTGAGTATGGACTGACATCTCCACTATCTGTGTGCTAAACCTTTCTTTCCTTAATTTTGGGGCTTGGGTGTCTGTCCCAGCAACAGAAGAAAAGTAATTGAGACATCTCCCACCCATAATCCTAGAAAACCTTAGTTGTGCTTTTTGTCACTGTAGTTTTATTTTTGGTTACTCAAGATGTCATATAAATGGACTCACTCAATATTTTATTCTTTTATGTCTGGCTCTTTTTTTTTTTTAATTTACTTATTTGTGTGTGTGTGTGGCCAGCTCAGCCCACCAAGGGGTGGGCTGCCTGGTATGTGGTGCTGGGGATTGAACCATCGTCCCTTTGCTTTGCTAAGCTTATTCTAAGTAGGTGCTTTAGACCACTGAGCCATCTCACCAGCCCCTGTCTGGCTCTTTTTACTCAAGCAATATTTTGGAAATTGTCCTATGTTCTGTGTATCAGTAGCTTACTCTTTATTGTTCAGTAGTATTTCCACATATGAAGATACCTTAATTTTGCTTATTCACTCATCTGTTGATGAACATTTGGTTATGTCTTAGTCACTGTCTTGTTGTCAAGACACAACGCCCAACACCCACAACCTAAAGAGGGGAGGTTTATTTTGGCTCACATTTACAGACCATGGCCTGGCAGAGGGGCCTGGTGGAGGAAAACTTGCTCACATCATGGTGACAAGGAAGTAGAGCAAAAGAAGAGCCAAGGAAAGAGATGAACACTTCCAGGTCGTGCCCGGTGACTGTCTCTAACCAGATTCCACCTCTTGACAGAAAGTCAAAGCTCAGCCTCTCAGCATCTGAGAGGTTTCCTTTGGTGAGGGTCATTCTTAGTCTAAGCCATAACAGGTTAAGTGTTTGGCTATTGTCAATAAAGTGGATACAAATAAAGCACTAGATAACTTCATTTGTTTTGGATAAATAGCCAGGGGTAGAATTGCTGAGAAACATGAATATATCTGTGCCAGGATATGATCTGTGAAATGAATCCCTAGGCATTTTCATGGTGGGGGCATCACAGTGTGCATTGACACGACTAGATGCGACCTCTCAATGCCATCAAGAGATGCAGTAAACACGACATGGATGGGCTGGCTGCTGGTACAATACGGCACTGTTGAGGGGCGGAGATATAGCTCAGTGGCATAAGAGCCTGCCTGGCAAATGCAGGCACTTGTGCTGCTGAGCTATGTCCCTGCCCTCCATTATAATCTTAAGAGGTCACTGTCCTATGTGTGGTCGTCATTGACCAAAATGTTGTTATGTAGTGCATGACTATATACACACACTATGCATATATTTATGTTAAATACATACAGTAGTTCATAGTATCCTTTTTTGCACACTGAATTACAATCTGGGTATTACTTTTTTTTGTGGAACTGGGGATTGAACTCAGGCCCTTGCACGTGCCAGGGTAGCACTTATTCCACTGAGCCATCTCCCTGGCCCCTGGGTATTACCGTTGTTTATTTTGTTGCTCAAATTGTCCTTGATTTGGCAGTTGTGAGCCTCTTCAAGGTAGTTTCTGGGTCCTTTTGAAATCTCTGTCCCTCTATGAGCTTTTCTTCACTTTTCAGCACTACTGCATATTCCCAGCTGGTTATTTTATTAGCATGATGTCATAACCATGTATTATACTCTTTCTTTCTTTCATATATGTATTTGGTACAGGGTCTCACAAAGCAGCTTGGACTCATAGTAATCCTCCTGTGTTCAGCCTCCCCAGCACTGGGATGACAGGTGTGCGCCACCATACCCAGACTTGGTCACTGGCTCAGCATTCGGGATGGGGATCGAACTCTGATCCCTGCACTTGCCAAAGCAGGCACTTAGTCCGCTGAGCTATCTCACCAGCCCTCTTTCTTTACTTTTTGGTGTTGGGGATTGAACTGAGGACCTTGCATTTGCCAGGCAGGCTCTTATGCCACTGAGCTATACTCTGCCCCTCAATTAATTAATTAATTAATTGGTACCAGGGATCGAACTCCGGACCTTGCACTTTCCAGGAAGGTGCTTAAGCTACTGAGCTATCTCCCCAGCCTTCCCGTTCCTTC